CTCTTCGTCGTCGTCCTCCTCCGCCTTTTCCTCCGCCTCCTTCTCGTCCTCATCCCTCTCCTCCTCCCCCACAGCTCATCCTCTGGATCTGCGTGGGACCCCTTTTTCTTCCGCACCCCAGCAGCCCTCAAAGCCGCGACAGTTTCACAATTCGCACCCCCCCCCGTCAGATGGCGAGGTCCTCGAGGTCTGCGTGGAAGCCCAGTGTTCCCCCCCCCCCCCCCCCGCAGCCTTCAAACGTTGCTGCAGTTTCACACTGCGCACCCCCCCCCAGGGATGGCGAGGTCCCCTGGCTCCCCCACCAGCCCTCGAGAGTGGCGACAGTTTCACACTTCGCAGCCCCCAGGGGCATGGCGAGGTCCCGTCTGGGTCCGCCTGGGACCCCGCTGCGCTGCCCCCCCGGCAGCCCTCGAACGTGGCGACGGCTTCACGCTCCGCAGCTCCCCAGGGCTGGCGAGGTCCCGAACCGTTCGGGTCCGCGTGAGACCCCACTGCGCTGGCCCCCCCCCCGCAGCCCTCGAACGTGGTGACAGTTTCGCACTCCGCGGCCCCCCAGGAATGGCGAGGGACCGTTTGGGTCCGCGCGGGGCCCCATGGCGTTGGCCCCCCAGCAGCCTTCGAAAGGGGCGACATTCTTACATTTCGCAGCCCCCCAGGGGTGGCGAGGTCTTGCTTGGGCCCGCGTGGGACCCCACTGTGCTGGCCCCCCCCCGAGCAGCCCTCGAACGTGACAACGGCTTTGCATTTCGCAGCCCCCCAGGGACTTCGAGGTCCCGTTTGGGTTCGCGTGGGGCCCCGGTGTGTTTGACCCCCGAGCAGCCCGCGAAAGTGGCGACAGTTTCACATGTCGCCGCCCCCCATGGCGAGATACAAATTGGGTCCGCGTTGCCCAGCCCAAGCATCCTCCGAAACTGGCAGTAGTTTTACATTTCGCAGCCCCCGAGGGATGGCGAGGTCTCATTTGGGTCAGCGTGGGACCCCACGGTGCTGGCCCACCCCCCAGCCGACCTCCAAAGGGCGACAGTTTCACGGTTTGCAGCCCCCCTGGGATGGCGAGGTACCGTTTGGGTCCACGTGGGGCCCCACTGCGTTGGCCCCCCCCCCGGCAGCCATCGAACATGACGACGACGGTTTCACACTTCGCAGCCCCACGAGGATGGCGAGGTAGCGTTTGGGTCCCCGTGGAGCCCCGCTATGCTGGCCCACCCAGCAGCTCTCGAATGCGGCGACGGTTTCACACTTTGCAGCCCCGAGAGGTGGCGAGGTCTCGTTTGGGTCCGCGTGGGGCCCCATTGTGTTGGCCCCGCCCAGCAGCCTTCGAAAGTGGGGGCAGTTTCGCAGTTCGCGGTCCCCAAGGGATGGCGATGTCCCGTTTGGGTCCGCGTGGGGCTCCACTGTGTTAACCCCCCAGCAGCCATCGAAAATGGCAGCCACCCTAGGGATAGCGAGGTCCCCTGGCTCCCCCATCAGCCCTCGAACGTGGCGACAGTTTCACACTTCGCAGCACCCCAGGGATGGCGAGGTCCCGTCTGGGCCGCGTGAGACCCCACTGTGCTGGCCCCCCCCAGCAGCCATCGAACGTGGTGACAGTTTCACACTCCGCAGCCCCACAGGGATGGCGAGGTAGCGTTTGGGTCCGCGTGGGACCCCGCTTTGTTGGCCCCCGCAGCCTCCCTCGAAAGCCGCGACAGTTTTACATGTTGCAGCCCCCCAGGGATGGCGAGGTCCCATTTGCGTCCGCGTGGGACCCCACTGTGCTGGCCACCCCAGCAGGCAGGCGAGAGGGAGACAGAGCTGTCTCCCCCAGCAGGCAGGTGCAGGCAGGCGCAGGCAGGCGAGACGCGGACAGAGGGTGAGGAGGAGAAGGACCAGGGAGTTGGCGACCCCAATGATTTGTTCAAAACGAGAACCCAGCCAAGAAAGAGTTGGGAATTGGTTCAAAGTTGTTGTTGCATGATCAGGTTGGCCATCAAAACCGAATGGTACCCTTTATTGAAACTCACTCGGCCTTCATGGTGCGCAGTTGGGGTCTAGACCATTTCGCTGCCTTGTGATATGCGGGGTCCAAGGGACTCCAGGACGGCCCCCTTATGAGCTCGAGGCGCTCCAGCCTGGCAGCGCACACGAACTTCTACGAAGCGCCCCCGAGCCCAGACCCCCGACGTAATGACTTTTTCATTACGTCGACCCCCAGAGGTCCCGACCCGTTCCCCATGACCGGCTTTGCATCCCGAGTCGTTTTTTGACGCTCCCGAGGCCCGGTGAGGGCCCCGGGAGGCCGAAAATTAGGAAAAAACGCCCGTCGTGATTTTTTCATAACTCGAGGGGGTCTGGGAGGGCAGCAATCCCCGAGCCCCTCGCGCCGTGGCAAAATCACGGCGCTCGGGGCTTGTGCTGCAGCTGTCGGCGTCTCCGGGGGCCCTCACCGTGCCTCGGGGCCGCCGGGTGCTCGTCGCGCCGCGGGCTTGGGCACACCGAGCTCTGGCGGGGGCCCAGAGAAGATGCACCACCACCACGTCGATTCCTCCTCTCTCCTCTGCCCTCCTCGTCCTCTCCCCTTCCCTGGGAGAGGCTCCTCCTCCTCCTCCTCCCTTCCTCCTCCTCCTCCTCCTCCTCCTCCTCCTCCTCCTCCTCCTCCTCCTCGTCCTCCTCCTCGTCCTCCTCCTCCTCCTCCTCCTCCTCCTCCTCCTCCTCCTCCTCCTCCTGCGGGGCTGACGGAGGTGGTGGTGGTGGTGGTGGTGTACTTTTGGGGCGCCAGGCTCTGGCGCGACACGCGGAGCACGGCCTGGTCCCGTTTCCCCGGCCTCCCGCGCGCCCAGCGTGGAGCGGCGCGCCAGCATCGGGGGCGGAAAAGAGGGGGGTGACTATATTCCAGATTTCGTAATAAAAGGGAGGGGGTCTGGACCCTCCAAGACAAGCCATTTCAGACCTCCCCCGTGGGAGATCCCTCCAAAACATCGTCCCCAGACCCCCCAGGCCCTCCAAGATAGCCTGGAAGAGACCCTCCCCCGAAATGAGACCCCCCTCCCTTTCTTACGAAATCTGGAGTACCCTGACCTTCCAGAGAGCTATTTTTTAGCACTGGAGGCCTAAAAACATCAAAAACTAAACGAAACAGCCCAAGACCAAGACGTAGGATAGCTCTGGGATAGGCTTTTAGGTCGGGTGCTATGTTTAAGCCCTCCTGGAAGGTCAGGGTAGGGGGGGGTGGATCTCATGGCCGGGCCCATGATATTTCCCCAGATTTCATAGCGCCCCTTCTCATTTCATTACGTCCCTGGCCCCCCCGCTGGGGCGCGCACATGCCGCCGGTCATGTTTGCACCCCCCCCTCTTGGACACCCCCCTCTTGGCCGCGCCCGACAGCAGCTTGCACGCGACAGCGTGAGAGTCGCAGGGGACGCTTCGCCAACACGCTGAGCAAAAGATTCTGGCGGCAGGCCTATGGGGGATGCATCGGAGGCAAGTCGCCGATCGATCGGCAATGCATCGCCGATTGCAGGTCGACGTCCCCCCCCCCCTCCTGAGTCGGTCCCCCTTATCGTTCTCCTTCAAGGGTGGGGGAGAGATACTCGTCATGTCCATGATTCCATGATTCTGACCTTGCCGGGTCGTGGGACGAATCTCGGCAGGAGGCTTGCTTGCTATTTGCGTGACTTGGGGGCCCGTGGCGAGGGCCCCGAGGGCGTCAACCAAACGATTCAGGATGATGAGAAGCTGGTCCTGGGGAGCGGGTCAAGACCTCCAGGGTTTCTTTTGCCAGTTTTGTTTTCCCATTTGTTCAAACAAGCAAGCAAAACACGACTCGTTTCGGCAGTGCGCAGGACGATGGCTGGAGAGCGGCAGCAAACGCGGCACTTCCAGCAGGTGCGGCCCAGGAAGGTGGCAGGAGAGCGCTGACCCCAGACCCCCGACGTAGTGATTTTTTCATGACGTCGACCCCCAGAGGTCCCGACCCGTTCCCCATGACCGGCTTTGCATCTCGAGTCGTTTTGTTGACGCTCCCGAGGCCCGGTGAGGGCCCCGGGAGGCCGAACATTAGGAAAAACCGCCCGTCGTGATTTTTTCATAACTCGAGGGGGTCTGGGACCAGGGGAAGCAGATGGGCCCTGTCCCGAGGGGAAGACGGGCCCTGGAGGCCCTTGGCAGCCTTCGACCCCCCAGGGCTCTCCCTGGAGCCCTGGGGCCGCCCGGACACGGCTCGGGGCGAAGGGCTCGTCCTTTGGGGGGGAGGCCTGGGGTCCGGGGCCCGCTTGCCTCGGGGCCCGCGTCCTGCTTGTCTGCGCCCTCCCCTGTGCTGGCCGGGGTCGTGGGGGCCCTCCCCTGCCCCCCCTAATTCGGTGCAGGTGGCCTGTCCTGGGCACGGCGCGTCGGCGCCCGCTCGCTCGGTCAGCGCCCGCCGGACAAGGTTAGACCTCCTACCTTGACACGTCGATCAGCGAATTGGTCGTTTTCGGTTCGCGAGAGGGCGTCGCGGCCGTCATGTTTGCGGGTCCAGGTCCGTCGGTTCCGGTCCCAAGGCTGTTTTCGCTAAGGGGAGGCTTGCTAAAGGTAGGTTTGTCCACCGCCGACTGTCAAGATACCTTAGCTGCCTCGATACGCCCGTTTTGATACGCAACACGTGCCGTGCTCAAAACGTTCGTGTCAATACGTTGCGTGTTGGCTCCACGTATTGGACCACGTTTTGGCGAATGTATCGCGTCGGACCTACCTTTTCAGCCTACGTGTTGAGCTCCGTATCAATACGATACGTGTTGCGTGTTGCGTATCGGGGCATCTATTGTAAGCAAGATAACCCTACCGCAGCCCCTCCCTCGCTCTCGCTTTCTGGGGCCTCCTACTGAGGGGGGTTCGTTGCCGCGGCTGGTTTCGCCTCGAGCCCTGGGGTCGAAGGGCATCCCAGGGGCTAGAGCGGCTGTCTCTCCTCCCCCTCCTCATCCTCCTCCTCCTCCTCCTCCTCCTCCTCCTTCTCGCTCGCCTGAGGAGAGGCTGAAGGCCGCGATGCGCTCCCTCAAGCAGGACGCCGGCCGCACCGCCGCCGTCGGCGCCGGGGCCGATTACGGCGCTTGCGCTTGCAACTCCCATTGCGCAATCGGGTTGGGTAGATCGATCCTGCCAAATCAAGGGCACCCTGTGCTTCGCGACACACGCGGCATTTCCGATGCGGCCCTCGGAAGGGTCGTGTGTCCTCTCCAATCAAGCTCGACTGTTTACAGCACGTTTCCACTACGGCCCCGCTGTCCTCGTGGACGATGCCCGTTTGACATCAAGCCGCAGGCCTGCTGGCTCGAAGAGCCACCACAGTGTAGGCGCATCGGATGAAGAATCGGCCTGCCAGTGGGGGCCTCGCGGAAAATGTTTTACCCCCCGACAGCCCCATCGACCCATGGACCTGCCGAGGCGCCAGGGTCCCTTTCAGGAGGGAGAAAAAAACACACAGACACAATTAATGTGGATTCCCAAGAAAATATTTGAGAATATGGGAAGTGGGGGGGGAAGACGAACATCCCAAACATATGGGAACACATTGGGAATCTTGTTACGTGTGTCTATTTATTTGTGTGTCCCAGGGCCCCTTCAAAGATCGACGAAGAATGTGCCCCAAGATCTCTCATAGCAGGCTCGCTTGTCGCAACCGGATGAGGATCATGATGGCAGTCACAGTCACACAGGCGAGATCTTGAGCTGCAGTACGCTCGCATAGACAGCGGGCGCGAGGTCACGTCCAACCTCAAGTCCGTCGCCCTCGCATCCGGGCAGCAGTTGGAGGGCTGGAGGTGCTGGTGCCAGCCTTCCAGCCCCCTAGCCCAAGTCGTGCAAATCACATGCTGCAGCCATGGGTTCGAGTTCGGCAGAGTGGCTGGGACGGTACCTGCCTGGAGAAGCTCCCACAGGGGATCGCCACTCGGCCCAATGATTTCTTTCACCAAGACGCAAGATTCGCCAACGTGGCTCCAACATGTCGTTCGCCAAGCCGGAATAGCCGCCATGTCGGCCTCAACACTTCGTCCGCTTGGACGGCAGAGACGTCAACATTGCCCAAACATTCAGCCATTCAAGACACCAAGCTCGTATCGCCTAAGTGAAAAGATCTTCAGACCAGTTCCGTCCCAGTGAGCACGCACGCCAATCATGCCCAAATGCCGTCGCAGTTCGGAGTTGCGCTGCCCGCGTGTTATCGCGCCCAGCACGTGCACTCTGCCTGTTGAGCATATGCGCCCACGTGTCCGTCTGGCACGGGGGCCCGCGGCAGGTGGCGGAAGGCTCTCGCACACGAGAGATCTACAATGTGCGACCCGGGCGATCAAAAGCACACTTCCCGTGCTGAACGCAGCGTTGAGCATCGCGTGGAGGGAGAAGGAGAACAGCTGGGGGCTTCCGCGGGGGCGCAAGATGAGTTGCGCTTTCCGGCTCGTGCTCCGGACCCACTCTCTCGCTCTCTTCCGTCCTTTGTTCGGGGGTGGAAAAGAGGGGGGTGATGACTAGTGGGGTGGGTGGATATCATGGCGGGGGCCATGATATTTCCTCAGATTTCATGGCGCCTCTTCTCGTTTCATTACGTCCCTGGCCCCCCCGCTGGGCCGCGCACATGCCGCCGGTCATGATTTGCACCCCCCCCTCTTGGACACCCCCCTCTTGGCCGCTCCCGGATTGTCCTCCTCGCCCCTCGCCCTCCCCTTGTCCTCAAGGAGAGCGGCGCGACATCGCCAAGTGATGCGCGCATTCCGGAGGGCGATTAGTAGGAGCCATTGGCAACTTGTGAATTCGTCTTGTCCGTGTACGCATACGAGGAGGAGCAGCAGCAGCAGCAGCAGCAGGGGCGACGGCGGAGCAGGGGGAGAAGGGAGAGGCCGCGTCCAGGACGCCGAACCCACTGCCACGTCGTATGCGGCGGCGATGGAGGTTTGCAGCAAGGCCGACCTCGCGAAGGTCGCGCTGGGCATCTTCGACCTCATGCTGGAAAGGGGAGTCGCCCGCGACCAGCACCTGATTGACAGGCGATTCTCCTCCGCCTCGTCCTTCTCTCTCTCTCTCTCTTTCCCGTTCTCTCTCTCTCTCTCTCTCTTTCTCTCTCGCCGTCTCTGTTCCCGGTTCCCTTTCTCCAGGTGTTTTTCTGTTCCTCCCCCTCCTTTCCCTCGTGGTCCTGAGCACGCCGCACACACAGTCTACAATAAGCCACACCAAACAACACAGGCGGTGTCGTCACGTTTTCTGGTTTACAAATGTATACATGCATATACAGCCAGCAGTATACCTCATCTTCGCGCTCTGTTTTCATAGCCTCATATAATGTTGTTGTGCACGGTTGGCCCCTGCTGCAGTCTACGCAGCAACGCGCAGCATGCAGCAATTGTTCCCCTTCCGATTCTCTCCTCGTTGTCGTCGTCGTCGTCGTCGTCCTCCTCCTCCTCCCTCCTCCCTCGTCCCCCCCCTTGACAAGATTGTGATGTCTTAGGACAAGCGCAGACATGTGCATTCGACTGTCGGGCATCGTGGGGCCAAAGCAATTCTCTGCGGTCCGGCGTCTCCGCCGAGCTCCTCCAGGACCGCCCAGCCAGGACGACTCTGGGCCTTCTGCCTTGAACTGTCCCTCGTCGTCCTCCTCCGCATCCTTGCGTTGCTCCTCCCACTCCTCCCCCTCATCGTCCTTCCCTTGGTGATCCTCCCTGCCCCCTTGCTCCTCGTCGTTTCCGCTATCCTCCCTGCCGCTCCCTTCCCCTCCCTTCCCCTCCCTCCCTCCCGTCCCCTCCCTTCCCCTCCCCTCCCTTCCCCTCCTTCCCCTCCCTTCCCCTCCCTTCCCCTCTCTTTCCCATCCTTCCTCGTCGTTTTTCTCCCCCTTCCCCTCCCTGCCTGCCTCGTTGCCCTCCCCCGCCGTTGCCGCCGTCGGTCGTCAGCCCCCCCCCTCCCTCTTTCTTCCCCTCCTGGGCCTCGTCCCTGCTTGGCCGCATCTCCTTTGCGATCCGACGCCACGAACAAAATTGACCTGAGCGCTGGACCCCATCTTCCAGCGGCAGTTTGCGAGCCTGTTCGACCCCCTCCCTCTTTCTCCCCCTCTTGGGCCTCGTCCCTGCTTGGCCGCATCTCCCTTGCGATCCGACGCCACGAACAAAATTACCTGAGCGCTGGACCCCATCTTCCAGCGGCATTTTGCGAGCCGGTTCGATCTGTCGTGGCCTCGGAGACCAGAGACTCGGCGAAATCACCCCACGTGAGATGATTGCAAGGCCAGGATCCGAGGGCCCCTGTCCCTGCGAGGGAGAGAAGCGGCATCAACATACGGTTTCGGAGGTCCGCACGGATTGCCTGGATCGACGCTGGACCCGCCTTCGCTGGCGCGCGGATCGCGCCAGGGGCGGCGGCGCTGGAGGTGCCGCCAGGGAGGGGGCGGCCCAGCGCATGTCCTGAAATATGAGGAGGAGGAGGAGGATTCAAATAGGAGGAGGATTTATGCGCTGGGTATATCCTGAAATCTGAGGATTTCCGCGCGGAGGTCCGGACAGATATATTTATGCTGGGTCTTTCTCCCCGAGGAGTGCCTGCACTTGCGCTTCCTCGCTCCTCTCCAGAAGGAATTGGTTCGGTCTGGCGAGGCTTCGCCACGCTGCCGCCCGTTGCCGCCTCGTTGCCGCCTCTAGCTTGCACCACGTCTTCTGCACCGCACAGCTTACACCACGCAGCTTGCACCACACAGCCTTCACACTCGCAGTGCAGTAGCGTACTGTTTGGGGGCCACGCTGGCAAGCATTCCTCTAGAACCGTCCTCGTTCTGGCACAGCTTATGATAGTTTATGTGTGTCACTTGCGGTTTCCAGGCTAGCCGTCACCCGCGGCGGTGGTGCAGCCTGGGATCGCGCTCTCCTTCTCCTCCTCCTCCTCCTCCTCCTCCTCCTCCTCCTCGTCCTCCTCCTCCTCCTCCTCGTCCTCCTCCTCCTCCTCCCTCCTCCCTTCTCCCCCTCCTCCTCCTCCTCCTCCTCCTCCTCCTCCTCCTCCTCCTGGAGCACACTCCAAGTCCCCAAGTAGGACGCTGGGCGCTGATGATTCGAAACGAGGACCCAGCACCACAGGATGGTTGGGACAAATACCTCGCTCCAGGGTTCGGCCAAATACCTCGCTCCAGGGTTCGGCTCGATCCGATCGATCCGATCCGATACCGATTCGGGCCGGCCAGATCCGGGTGGATTCCGATCTTCCGACGAGCCGATGCGGCCCGGTGCTCTTGCATGGCGCTGCTGTGCATCTCTTAGCCCAGACCCCCGACGTAATGATTTTTTCATTACTTCGACCCCCAGAGGTCCCGATCCTTTCCCCATGACCGGCTTTGCATCCTGAGTCGTTTTTTGACGCTCCCGAGGCCCGGTGAGGGCCCCCAGAGGCCGAAAATTAGGAAAAACCTCCCGTCATGATTTTTTCATTACTCGAGGGGGTCTGGGAGCGCAGCCGGCCCGTCTCCGAGCCGAGGCGGCCCGATCCGGTGCACCTCCCGATTCACCCTGGCTTGCCGATTCGATGTTGGGTGATCCTGCGCGTTGGATGAGGACTCTGTGGGCCCCGGAAGCGGCAGGGGGGGGGGGCGCGAGGGGGGGCGCCCGCCCCCTGCGAGGGGGGGCGTCCGCCCCCCGCCCCCCCTCCTGGCCTCGACGTTCTGTTGGGCGGCCATGGCTGTCCTCGGCCTCCGCCTGGGCACCTTCGCAGCCTCTGCCCAACCCAGACCCCCTCGAGTAATGAAAAAATCATGACGGGAGATTTTTCCTAAGTTTCGGCCTCCGGGGGCCCTCACCGGGCCTTGGGAGCGTCAAAAAATGACTCAGGATGCAAAACCGGTCCCGGGGAATGGGTCGAGATCTCTGGGGGTCGACGTCATGAAAAAATCATGACGTCGGGGGTCTGGGAAGTGAGGTGCAGGACAAGGTGCAAAGACAGCACTCAGATCTTCGGGGGATGCCCAGGGCTTTGTGGGCCCCGGAAACGGCAGGGCCAGTTTTTCACCGTTTCCCCCAAAAAGTGTCCCTTGAAAATGGAAGCGGCAAAAAACACGGCGACCGGAAGCGGCAAAAAAACGGCTCCAGGATCGGAACCGGAGCCGGAACCGGTCAAAAAACGGCGACGCGACGGAACCGGTAAAAAAACGGCGTCGGAACGCAAAAAAACTGCAAAACGGAACCAGTAAAAAAAAACGGCCCTGTCGTTTCCAGGGCCCACTAAGGATGAGGAGGCGCACCTCCGTCGGCTGCTTCAACTGGCGGCGGAATCCCAAGCCTGCCCTCGCCGATCCACGACTCGGGCAACTCGAGGGGCGGCGGGGACAGGGCTCGGAGGCCGTCGAACGTGCGACGAAATCCGAATCCCGCCCTCGCCGCCCATCGACTCGGGCGGAAGACGGTGGTTGGTGTGGGGTAGGGTTCCGACGCCGCCACCTGCTGAGGCCGCGTACCACAGCCCGCTCTCGGCCAGGGTCACTTCCCAGACTCCCGACGTCGTGCTCTTTCCACAATCGGGGAGACGCAAGACTCAGGAGGGGAAAAAAAACACAGACATGATTAATCGTCGACTCCCAGGAAAATATGGGAAAATAAGGGAATTGGGCTGGAAGACAAAAACATATGGAAAAATATGGGGAATCATTTTATTTGTGTGTATCTATTTGTGTGTCCTTGGGCCCCTTGAAAGACTCGGGTACGGGGGACTCGGGTTGGCCTGACGGGGGCAATCATAAAAATGACGAGGCCCAATCTGAAATTTGACGCGGGCTCCCGCTGCAGACATCCCACGAAAAGTCTGGACCGTCAAAATCCAGGACGCGCTCGTCAAAAAAAAGTGGGCAAACCCGAGTTTGGGCTTACTCGGGTCTTACGCTTCCCCGACACAACGTCGACCCCCAGAAGTCTCGACCCATTCCTAGGGACCAGCTTTTGATCCTGCGTCGTTTTTGGACGGCCCCGGGGCCCGGTGAAGGGCCCCCACAGTCCGAACACGGCAGGAAGCCTCCCGTCCTGCTCTCGTAACCCTGAGATCCGACGTAGAAATGGAGACGTCGCGAAACACGCGACTGGAGCCCCATAGGCCCCATCGTTCTGCCTCGTTTTTCCAGCCGGATATCGCTCCGTGCAGGTCCCGGGGCCCGACTCTGGGCGATGGGGCCCCGCCCGGAAAAGTAGAGACGCCAGGATCTCTGGGAACGGCGCGCCTCCTCACCCTCCTCCTCCTCGCTCCTCCTCCTCCTCCTCCTCCTCCTCCTCCTCCTCCTCCTCCTCCTCCTCCTCCTGCTCCTCCTCCTCCTAGCATGTATGGGGGTCCGGCGCTGCACTCTGCATGCGCAGGCGCACCTCCGTCGCCTTCTTCAAGCTCGTGGTGCACCACCTCGGGGAGGAGCGCCTGCGCCAGGAGGGCCTCCGGCTCCTCAGCGCCATGCGGGCGCACGGGCTGTCGCCCGCGGTCGGCGCCCAGGAGCGGAGGGGGGACCCGCTGCGGCGGCCGGGGCCGATCCTTGCCGGGCGGATCCTGGGGCCTTGCTCGGGGGCGGCCAAGAGGGGGGGACGATTGGGGGGGGGTATCATGGCGGGGGCCATGAGATCTCCCCAGATTTCACATGGCGCCTCTTCTTGTTTCACGACGTCTCCAGCGCCCCCCTGGGCCGCGCACGTGCCGCCAGCCATGATTTGCGCCTCCCCCTCTCGGACACCCCCCTCTTGGGCACCCCCGACCTACGGCAAACCCCTCGCCGGCGAGAGGACTCTGAGATCCTGGCGTCGCATTTCTCTTCGAGCCGGGCGCTCTCGCCCAGCGCCGGGCCCCGGGATCTCCACGCGTCGATCCGGCTCGAAGAACGGCGCACACGGGTGGATCTGGGGCTCAAGTCTCGGGCCGGACGAACAGTGGGGATTGGGAAAGGGGGGGTTACGAAATCTGCTGCATGCAGCTGGTTTCGGCCCCACCGAGGGGCCCATTCCTCGATACATGGCGGCCTTTGGCGCCGGGAGGCTACGGGAGAGTCAGCCACGTGAGCTGATTCTCGAAGCCCCTCTTTGCTATCCCCCCCTGTCGCCCAGCCCGAAAGTCGTGATTTTGTCGTGAGGTTCCAATTGCTTCGAGGCGTCAGATCTCAGGGGGGGACGGGTGCAGCCAAGACGCTGAAATACGAGCCGATTTGGCTTCGGAAGGGGCTCGCTGTTCCTTCGGTTACTCCGTTTTGTTCCTCTAGCCGTCCTCGTGCACCCAGGCGCTGCTGGCGCCGAAAATCCTCGTTCTTTATTTCGCATTCCTTCTTTCAGTAGCCCGTCTGCAGGAAAAGGAAGAGGAAGAGGAAGAGGAGGCGGAGGAGGACTCGCAGTAGGAAGGGGAAGACGCATTAGTACGGGGACGGGTCTGCCGAGCACTGTGCGCAAGAAGGAAGGGGCAGGAAGGAGGCAAAGGGAACGCAGGACAGGGGGGGAGGAGGACGACGAGGGGCACAAAGGGGGAGGGAGGAGGGAGGAAGTGGCGCCCACATCCACCCCGGTGTTTCCATGAAAACGCCGGCCGCCCGGAGAGGAAGGAAACTCGGGGGGAAAACCCGAATGGGGGGGGCTAGTCGGACGCACCGCTATCGAGGATGGGCGCCCACCTGTCCTACATTCCCGAGTTGGGCCCCCTTATGTTGCGCCCCTCCGAAATCCCCACGAAATTTGCGATAGAGGAGGAGGAGGAGGCGGAGGAGGAGGAGGCGGAGGAGGAGGAGGAGGAGGAGGAGGAGGAGGAGGAGGAGCATGGAGTTGACACCCACTGTTAGACCTGCTCGCGTCGCACAAACCAGAACAAATCGGGGCGCGAGGCTTTTCGTCGTGGTCGGCTTCCTGTGCGGCCGCGAGGCGAGAAGCGCGGTCGCCTTCGCGGCTCCCGCGAGCGACCCAGGGAGGCCCCGACCCAGGCACCGTCGGTCCCAGTGAGTGGACTTCTGGCGGCCGCGTGTGCCAAACATCAACCCAGACCTCCTCGCGTTGTGAAACATATCACGACGTGAGGTTCTTCATTGTTTTCTGCCTCTGGAGGCCCTCGCCAGGCCTCGGGACCGTCAAAGAACGACCCGGGATGAGAAGCCGCTCCCAGGGAGTGGGTCCAGAGCTCTGGGGGCCGACGTTGTGAACAAACAACGACGTCGGGGGTCTGGGAACGCATCGCATGTCGGGATAGATCGGTTTATAGATGCCTCCCTGCCCAGGCCAGGAGGGCGTGCACACCGATCCAGGGCCCAGGGTGGATCTGGCCAGGGTCGGTGCAGGCGAGTGTCTTGGCATCGCTCGGACGTGTGCATTCTTCCTTCGGCGAGGACCATCGAGGAGCATCCTTGATCACTTGGCGACAAAACCGCGCACGAAACCGACAAAAGCACAGGGAATGGACGTCCGAGCGATGGCCAGCGGCGGCGCCCTGCTGGGCCGCCCGGCGCCCGCGGCGAGCTCGGCGCCAGCGGCAGCTCCGCCCGCCCGCCGCCGCAGGGCCTCGCGGCTGGGCGGCTCTCCCCCTCGCGAGGGCCTGGCGTCAGGTCGGGCATCTACAGACGAGGAGGAGGAGGAGGAGGAGGAGGAGGAGCAGGACAAGAACGAGGAGGACGAGGCCGAGGCCAAGGAGGCCGAGGCCAAGAGTATGTGGCACCCGCCTTCAGGACTGCCTGATCGTCGCGTGGAGGAGCAAGCTCCCCGAGGACGTCGTGCGGTAGCCGCCCGGGCTGCCGCGCGCCTCCGCCGTCGCGCGCATGCGGAGTGTGCGAGGAGCGGCCCACGGCACCTTCGCTTCGCCTTTCAGATCCACCGCCGGGGGCGGGGGGGGGGGCTGATCTCTGCTCCCCTACACCCAGACCCCCTCGAGCAATGAAAAAATCATGACGGGAGGTTTTTCTTAATTTTCGGCCTCTGGGGCCCCTCACCTGGCCTCGGGAGCGTCAAAAAACGACTCAGGATGCAAAGCCGGTCATGGGGAAAGGGTCGGGACCTCTGGGGGTCGACGTAATGAAAAAATCATTACGTCGGGGGTCTGGGCAGTCGGGGCCCTGAAGAAGGAACCCTTTTCGTTGGGGAGGGGCCCCCGCGTTCCTTTAAGTGTTTCGCAGCCTGCCTCAGGTTTTCCTTATGCTTCCGATCGGAAATCGAGGTTTAACCCATGGACAAAAGGGGCCTCGTTCCTTATTTAGGGTTCCTTAGGTCAACGCCCCGACTATACTGACACCACCCACCCTGGAAGCGTCGCGGTGGCCTGCGTGCTGCTACTCCTCCTGGGCAGGAGACTCAGGGCCTGGAGCGATCACTGGACGCATGTCGGCCTCGATGCAGCGGGGGGCGGGGCAAGTTCTCGGAACACTGACGTGTCGTGACATGCCTCGTGGTTCCGGTCTGTTGTCGAATCGTGGGCTCCGTGGCTTGCGCGCCGTGTGCACATGTCGTTCATCGTTTACGGCGTCTTGGCGCAGCGAGGCGACCGATTCGTCCATGGCGCCTTCCAGAAAGATTGGCAGGGGCCCGACATAGCGCAGCCGCTTCAAAGCGCGGTGGCGGACTTCGTCGAGATGAGGGAGGCGGGTATCGTGCTCAGCTGGACGGCGATGCGCTGCGTGATGTCGGCCTACCAGTGGTCCGACCCGGCTTTTACGCTGACGCTCTACGACGAGCTAACTGGGCGAGGACCACCTTCGTCCCCCTGTCTGGTTGCTCCCGTAGTCTTCGATCGTATCGTGTTCTTTGTTGTTACTGTGTGTGTGTGGGGGGACACACTGACATGCGAGAGCATAGAAAAAACAGCAGAGGAAATATCATCAACGAAGAGAAGGGAACGGCATGTAACAGGATACCATCCCATGAATCGGAAGCAGTAAGTAGAAGACCGCCCATCTTCATGAACAAATGCCTGCGGAGGTCAGCACGGTTGTGTTGCGTCCTCGTTGGACCCTCCTTGGAGGCGCCTCTGTCGCAGGCCGTGGCGCGCCCTGAGCGCCAGGGAGGAGGGGCCAGCACAGATCGAAGGGATCCGAGCACTTCTCCGAACGTTAATGCTTATGCGATTTCTTCTTCTACTGCCGCCCTTCCCTGCTGTCCGCCTTCTCGCTCCTCCGTGTCTCCTCCGTTCGCACCCGCGGGCGTCGCACTCGTAGCGCACTACGCTCCTCCATGCCGCGTGACTACAACATGATGGCTACCTCCTCGTGCCCCCACCCAGCCCCCTCCCTCGGGGGAAGGAGAAACGACACCACCACCACCACCAGGGGGGCCGCCTCCAGTAACGAGGTCCACGAGGCCTCCCCGAGCTGGGGATACGGGATGTCTCGAGCGAGAGGGGGAGACCACACCACCAGGGGGACCACCCCTGGCTCTTCTCGCTGGTGGTCCCTTGTGATGTTGGTGTTGCTTGTCCATGTTCTTACACGTTCGGCGAACTTCGGCTCTCCCAACCTCCTCCTCCTCCTCCTCCTCTTCCTCCTCCTCCTCCTCCTCCTCCTCCTCCTCCTCCTCCTCCTCCTCCTCCTCCTCCTCCTCCTCCCCCCTGCCGCGCGAGGAGTCCGGCCCGACCGCGTGCACTTCCACGCGGCGCTCACCGCCTACTGCGAGCTCGGCAAGATGGACCAGGCCATGCAGCTGCTCAAGGACCTCCTCCTTCACTGTCCTCCTCCCCTTCCTCGTCGATCCTCCTCTCTTTCTTTTGCTTCTCCTCGCAGGGGCAGCGAGATGCATCGCCCCCCAATCGCCCGTGCATCGCCGACAGGGGTCCAGCAGCTCACCCCGCCCAGGACCGTGCGGATTCGCTATCGGGGTCCTGTCGCCGATCCATCGGCGATGTGTTGCCGATTCCGGGTCGACGTCTCCACCCTCCCTTGAGCGACGGGACCCCCTGACGTTGCATCTGCCTCTGCCTCTCGTCGTTGAGCACTCGCTCCGCTCGAGCACGCGGTCGCAGGTAACCTCGGATCGTCGGCCAGATTCGGTGGACCCTTGAGGGGCCCAAAGCCCTCGCGCTCCCCGCTCGCGCCCGCGCGAGCGCCACCGACGCAGACCGAGCACCTGCTGCCTTCGGGCCGCCCAGCCTCCGTGCCTGAGCTCCGGGTCGGAATCCTCTTGGATGCTCCTCGGGGCCTCTCGGGATGGCTCTCGGGGGCCTCTCGGAACCTCTTGGGGCCTCTTGGGGGTAATCGTGGGGGGCCCGCGGCGGCCTGCTGGGCCCCCAGACACCCGACGCCGTGATTTTTTTCCAAGCGCGACCCCCAGGAGGTCCAGACCCGTTCCCCGGGAGCGGTTCTTCGTCCCGAGTTGTTGCCGGACTGTCCCGAGGCTTGGCGAGGGCCTCCACAGGCAGAAAACAATGAAGAACCTCACGTCGTGATATTTTTCACATCCTGAGTTGTTGCTGGACTGCCCCGAGGCCCGGTAAGGGCCTGGAGGCAGAAAAAACTGTGCAAAACATCCCGTCGCGATTTCAACACAGCGCGAGGGGGTCTGGGCATCTCTCGGGCGTGTGCATTTTTCCTTCGGCGAGGACCCTCGAGGAGCATCCTTGGCCATTTGGCGAAAAACCCACGCACGAAACTGGAAAAAGCACACGGAATGGGCGTCCGAGCGATGGCCCCTGCTGGGCAGCGCCGCTGGGCCCCTTCTCGGGCCTCTCTGGGGCCTCCAGAGGCCCCCGCGAGGCCTCATGGCTCTCCCGCGGGAACCACGCGCTGGCCTCCAGAGACCTCTTGGGACTCGCGGGAGGCCTCATGGCCTCCCGCGAGTCCTCCCTGGCGCCTCCAGGCCCCAGAGAGGCCCCAGTGGGGCCCGGCGGCGCCCTGCTGGGCCGCCCCGCGCCCGCGGCGAGCTCGGCGCCAGTGGCGGGGCGCACGGCCCGCCCGCCGGCAGCAGCTCCGCCCGCGGCCGCCGCGGGGCCTCGCGGCGGGGCGGCGCTCGCGGGGGCCTGGCGTCAGGTCGGGCATCGACAGGAGGAGGAGGAGGAGGAGGAGGAGGAGGAGGAGGAGGAGGAGGAGGAGGAGGAGGAGGAGAGGCCTTCAGGGGGCGGGGAGTGGGCGAGGAGGAGGGGGGAGGGGCCTGGGGGGGCGGAGGCAGTACTTCTCCGGGCGTCAGGTCGGGCATCTACAGGTGGAGTTTGGCCTGCCAGTGCTGTTTCTTCCTCGCCCTCCTCCTCGCTTTCGTCCTCCTCCCCCTCGTCGTCCTCCCCCCCCCTTCGCCGCCGCCGTCGTTGCTGTCGGCGTCTGCACGGCGTCTTCTTGTTTCGCAGCCGCGCCTCCGGCAGCGGATCTTGCTGTTTCACTTATTTGCCAACGCACCTCTGACGTGCACGGCGCCTTCTTCTTCCATGAAAAAGAGCCTGGCATAGTCCACAGCGTTAGAACAATAATCAAACATTCGTCCCCTGACGTTTCGACTATTCTCAAACCTTCCTTCTGTAGACGGATCTGCCCGACTTGAGCCTGGCGGCGGAGCGGAACGGCCCTCGCTGGCCGGAGGCGGGCGCGGCGCAGCGGCCCTCGCTGGCGGAGGCGGAGGCGGAGGCGCCACCTGTCAGGGACACGTCAGACTCAGGAACAGAAGCATCGGGTTGGGAGGATGGGGTTGGGAGAAGTTCGGATTTCGCTACCTGCAGGCGGCCGAAGGTACCATTCGCTGCACCCGGATGCCATTGCTCATGCTTGTACCCTTTCATCCTCTCGACCCCTTCCTCCCAACACGGTAGTCGTTCTCCTCAAAGACTCGAGCATTCCGGAACCCAGGCTTGCCAACGTTTTTTGACGAGCGTGTCCCGGATTTTGACGGTCCAGACTTTTCGCGGGATGTCTGCAGCGGAGGGGTGCATCAGATTTCAGATTGGGCCTCGTCATGTTCATGGTGGCCCCGCCAGGCCAACCCGAGTCCCCCGAACCCGAGTCTTACGTCCGCAGAAATCTGGCTGCTCCAATTTTTCGATGCGTGGACCCCAGAGGTCTGGACCACTTCCTTAAGGCCGGTTTTCCGTCCTGAGTCGTCCTTTGACGCTCCCGAGGCCCGGCGAGGGCCCCCAGAGGCCGAATCAGAGCGCCAGAGACGAGGGCACAGCAAACGGGGGCACGGGGAACGCCGACATCTCATTCCTCTTCCTCATCCTCGTTATCATATTTTCTTTCATCCATCCCAGAGCGTCTCTCTAATGTTCCTTCTCTCTAATTCTTCATTTCCTTCATTTGCCCCGTGTTCTTCCTCCACCTCCTCCACCTTCTCCCCCGCCTGCTCACCGTTGTCGCCCTCGCCCTTCGGCATCGTCCTTACGGCGTCCCTGCTCGTCCATTGGCTCGTCGTCCTCATCACCGTTGCCAGCCACCACGTCCCCACTTTTCCATCACCAGTCTTCCCCATCCTTCTCTGAGGATGCCCTCCCCCAAACAAAAGAAACATCCTCTGAGGACGGGCCCAGCATGCAGGTCGAGCTCAACGCCCAGACCTACCAGATAATCATCAGGTGTTGCACCTTGAGCAGCAAAGAGGAGGAGGAGGAGGAGGAGGAGGAGGAGGAGGAGGAGGAGGAGGAGGAGGGGGAGGAGGAGGAGGAGGGAGGAGGAGGAGGAGGAGGAGGGGAGGAGGAGGAGGAGGAGGAGGAGGAGGAGGAGGAGGAGGAGGAGGAGGAGGAGGAGGAGGCGGCGTAGCAGCAGCAGGAACGAAGCGTTAGGGACAAGGGCCAGGGACGATGGAGGCGAAACGAGGGATTGGGAGAGGGAGGATAAATGAGAGGGAGTCAGGGAGAACCATCAGGAGGACCAGCACTACGCCTCAGGCGTGGGGGCGCGGCAGTTCCGGGAACGGGCAGGGGCCTCGGTGGCAGCGTCCTCTTCCGAGGCGCTTGGCCAGGAGGCCCGCAAGCGGCTGGTCCGGCGCTACCTCGTCGGAGAGGTCGACCCGCATCCCCAGACCCCCAACGTCATGATTTTGTGCATGACGTCGATCCCCAGAGTTCTCGACCCATGCCCCGGGACCGGTTCCTCACCCCGAGTCGGCTTTTGGCGGTCCCGAGGCCCGGCGAGGGCCACTGGAAGCCGAAACCAGCGGAAAACACCTCCCGTCGTGATTTTTCATGTCCCGAGGGGGGCCTGGGCCTACAGTCGGGGCCCTGAAGAAGGAACCCTTTTCGTTGGGGAGGGGCTCCGTGTTGCTTAGGTGTTTCACAGCTTGCCTCAGGTTTTCCTTATGTTTTCGATCGGAAATCGAAGTTTAACTTTTTGAAAAAAGGGGCCTCGTTCCTTGTTTAGGGTTCCTTAGGTCAACGCCCCGACTATACCGGCACCACCCCACCCTGTGAGCGTCGCGGTGGCCTGCGTGCTGCTACTCCTCCTGGGCAGGAGACCCAGGGCCTGGAGCGATCACCGGACGCATGGCGACCTCGATGCAGCGGGGGGGGCGGGGCAAGTTCTCGGAACACTGGCGTGTCGTGACTCAGGAGGGGGAAAAACACACAGACACAATTAATCGCCGATCCCCAGGAAAATATGCGAAAATATGGGAAGTGGGGGGGAAGACAAAAACCCAGAAAATATGGGAAAATATGGGGGATATTTTTATTCGTGTGTGTGTATTCATTTGTGTGTCCCAGTTCCGCTTCAGTGACGTGCCTCGTGGTTCCGGTCTGTTCTCGCATCGTGGGCTCCGAGGCCTGCGCCCTTGACTGTACAGCGGCAGGAGGGCGGCGCGGATGGCCGCCCAGCGGGCCTGCGGTGCCCAGGCAGGGAGCTCCAGGCCGCTCGGAGGGCACCAACTATACACCAACACCGATCCTGGCCCAGGATCACCCTGGGCCCATGATCGGTGTATATGCCTTCTTGCCCAAGGCAGGAGGGCGTATACACCGATCCTGGGCCCAGGGTGATCCTGGCCAGGATCGGTGTTGGTGTATAGTTGGTGCCTTCCTAGCCGCGGCAGAGGCGGCGGCGTGCCGCCTGGCCTGCCGCGCTGCCCAGCCCTGGGCGCAGTGGCGCCCCCAGGGTCGCTGCACGCCCATGCTAGCGGCGGCGGTCGAAGAAGAAGAAAAAGAAAAATCATAATAGCAATACTAATAATAGCAAGAAGAAGAATGAAGAGGAAGAAGAAGAAGAAGAAGAAGCGGTGTAAACAGAAACTTGTGGCGCTCCGCGCGGATTTCTTGGATCCGCGCTGGGCCCCCCGGCGGCGCCGCAGGCGTCGCCCCTGGCGCGCTCCGCGCGCCAGGGAGGGGGCTCAAGGCCACGGCAGTGGCGGCGGAGTTTTGCTCGATCTGCCGCGCTTCCCGGCCCTGGGCGCAGTGGTGCTTCCAGGGTCGCTCCACGCCCATGACAGGCCCAGACCAAGACATCGGGCGTCTGGAACAAATCGAGACGACAGCTGTTCCCCGTTTTCAGCATCTGGAGGCCCGACCGTCGAACAACGATTCGGGATGTAACACTGGTCTCCCAGGGAAGTGGTCGACGGGGGCGCGCGTCTCGCAGAAATCGAGACGCCGGATGTCTGGAGGCATCCAGCTGCTCCAGTTTTTTCTGATGCGTGGACCCCGGAGGTCCGGACCACATCCCCAGGACCGACTTCTCGTCCAGAGTCATTGCTTGACGGTTCCGCGAGGCCCAGCGCAGGCCCCTGGAGGCCGGACACAGCAATCG